AGGCAGAGTTGCTCTGCCCCAGGCTTCCTGGAATCAGCCGCTGATCAGTTTCAGCATCAGCTGACTTGGGGACGCCTCCAGATTCTCCTGAAGTAGCAGACAGAAGGGGACCCCTGGGAGAGCTCAGAGGTCTGACTTCCCCTGGTCCAGCAAACGCCCTTTTTCAAGGCTGCTTAGGTCCCAAGGGTGCTGGACCAGGGAGATCAAACCTGTAGTCACAAAGTATATACAGGCAGTCCCCAGGTTATGTACAAGATAGGGACTGTAGGTTTGTTCTTAAGTTGAATCTGTTTGTAAGTCGGAACTGGCGTCAGCTGCTGCTGAAAGTGATCAGTTTCAACCGTGGCTGAATCTGGACGCCAGTTCTGACTTACATACAGATTCAACTTAAGAACAAACCTACAGTCCCTATCTTGTACATAACCTGGGGACTGCCTGTATATACTTTGTGACTACAGGTTTGATCTCCCTGGTCCAGCACCCTTGGGACCTAAGCAGCCTTGAAAAAGGGCGTTTGCTGGACCAGGGGAAGTCAGACCTCTGAGCTCTCCCAGGGGTCCCCTTCTGTCTGCTACTTCAGGAGAATCTGGAGGCTTCACCTCCTCTGGCCCATCTGCCTGGCTCTGATGCCCCCAGCCTGCTCCCAGGGCTCTGCTGCCTGACCCAATGGCTCTCTGCCACCAGCCCTGTGCGGGGTGGCAGCTGCTCCTGGCCACCCAGTTCCGCACTTGGCAGCGGCTATTCCCAGGGCTCCCTATCCCGGCTGCATGTGGCGTGGCAGGTGTCCCCAGACCCTCTGCCTCCAAGTCACCAACCTTGTGGGCTGCCACCCACAAGACTGGCTCCACTCCCTGCCACACTCAATCTCTGCTGTTTGGACTCTCTGGTCTAGCAACATTTGTGGTCTTACCAGATCACGGATGTTGCCAGAACACAGAGTCCTCGATGAGAGAGGTTCAACTTGTACTAGCAACCAATATTGCAAGCATCATTTCAGATAGAAAATAAAATGAAAGTGGTAATATTGTTATTTTATAATTCTATCCCATGTCTATGACAGGTAAATATCTTATGAGCAGTAAATCGTTTCTGATTGTTTTTTAATATGAAATTTAAAATGCTATGCAGTTTTTAAAAATGTAGCTGTATCTTTGCTGTCTTCGTTGTTGCTGTTCACACTGAATTTTTTCAATTACTTTTCCATAATAAATCCAAACAATGTGTGGGGAATTAATTATTTTCTCCAGACAAGTATATTTTCATGTTTCTTTGTCATGCTTAGTCCTGCTTTTGCATTAAAGCCAATGGCAGATCTTCCATTGATTTCAGCAGTTTTCATATTAATCCCTTGAACTGTAAATTCTTTGGGGCAGTAGCTATCTTTTATATTTGTACAGTGCCAAATACAGTATTGGCATTTAACAGATTATCAAAATAGTCCTGTTACTGAGCAGAAACATGAATAATTAGATCCATAATATATGGCTAGTTATTTGTTATATCTCTAGTATTCCAGCCTCCAACACTGCTAATTTGTTTTCCCTAATTAAAACTTTTAGGTTTACAGAATAACCTTAAATCCATTATTAATCAGAAGTATTTTCTCACTTTTTGCCATAGTGAAAATATTTCTTTAATACATCTCCAACTTTCAGACCAATAAATATACTTTAGGCCCAATGGATTAATTTTTAATACTTAAGTTTGGACACAAAATGTTACTTTCATGAACAAATAGCAAAATATATCCGTTTTTTAAAGACTTGTTTGTATGTAAAGCCGAGAATTGAAAACACTTTATGTACTTTGATTCCACTGTTTCCTGACAGTGAACAACAATGTCTGGAGAAGAAAATAGAGGATTTAAAAAAAAATCACAGTTTGGCATTAGGTCGGCAGCGTGGATTTGAAGAAGAGATCATTCGATTTAAAAAAGAGCTTCAAGAATCTCAATTCAAAGATGCTGAGGAAAAGTACAAAGAAATGATGATTGTAATGAGAACAACAGAGCTAGTAAACAGGGACCTTGACATATACTACAAGGCACTTGATAAGTGAGTATTGTAATATGATTATGGTCACCAAACATTTGGAGACTTTTAAACTTAGTAACATCACACGCCTCTCTTTAGGTTAGCCTGAAATTAAAATAATTTTTGAAATTTAATATCTTGTAATGCAAATGTATCACATGTAGTTACAGGAAAAAGTCTGATCAATATTCTTTTCTCCTGAAATAGTAATTTTAGAAAGACATTGTCATGGTTGATTAGGTCAAAATTAGTTACGTTTTGATAAAGCAAATTTTTTAAAATGAAAATAAATTATTCATAGCTTAGTCCAGCACTTAGAAACACCAATGAATAACAAGTCATTGGGTGAACATAACAGGAAAGAGAAGAGTTTTGGTATGGAAACAACTTTTAATTTCAAACTTTCTACGATAAATTTAAATAGTAAATAAAACAATTCTTAAAAATTCTTGGCAAATTCCATGATTATTTCCCTGTTATTAAAATCAGTTATTTAAATTTAAAGTTCTTACAAAAATGTGGGGTATTTCTTTCTATAATATTTGTCTTGAAAACTTCCAACCAGAAAGGATTCAAAATAGTAAGGAAACATAGGGCTTCCATGCAGATTTCCCTGTTCTCCTATGGATCCTTTCACACACAAAGGAATTTTTAGGAAACTGTATAAGGAGAGGCACACACAGTTTTCATTTTCTTGTAACTCTCTCTGATCATTGGCACACCTCCCACTGTTTTTTTGAGTGGCTGGGGGCACAGAGACATAGTAAACTCTAGACTTGGGCTTTGTCTACACTTCTAAATTTAAAGTGAAAGTGTAGCCATGACACCAGTGATGCAATAAAGTTCTCCCAGCGCTCTACATAAACCACCTCTGCAAGGGGAGTAGTTAACAGAGCTGGCAGACCATTTACACTAGTGCTGTACAGTGCTGTAACTTCTGCGCTCAGGGGGAGGGTGTTTTTTCACACCCCTGAGCTAGAAAGCTGCAGCACAGTAATGTGGCAGTGTATATTTAGCTAGTCAAGATACACAAGGTATAACTGTGTGGCAGCATGTTGGGTACCCCCTGATCCTGCACCCCATCTGCAGCAAGATGAGACTCTGCCAGCCAGTAGAATAGAGAGGGTTTATTGCTTCTCCAGGATACAGCACAGCATAGGCGTGATGTGGACATAAGGAATCGGGCTGGCAGCCCTAGACCCCTTCACATAGGGGTCCACTGGCAACCTTGACCTCCAGTACTCAGCTTACTCTCTTTTCTTCATATTTTCCCAGCCAAAAACTGCCCAGCTCCCAGACCCTGCCCCCCAGCCAGGTGGCCGTCTCCACCTCCCTTCCTTTGTCTCTCCCCGTGGGAAGAGCCTTGTTATCTGCTCAGGCTGAGACTAGATGTCTGGGCCAATACACATGTGCGTGAGTCAGTGGGAATCACACATCACAGCATAGGGGAACCCCGGTTACAGAGCAGACAGCACCCCCACTACGTCACACTCTGTATTATGGATAATCATGGATTTCTTTCCGCAGTTTTTCGTTCAGATAGCCTCTAAAAAAAAAAGTCCAGAACAACAGTTATGAGCAACATGGAATCTGTTTCAGTATTTGTATGCCAAAACTGTTTTTTCTTTTCTATATATAAAGTATTTCTACTACTATCATTTCCACAGTACCTTAGCACCGTCTAGTCATGCACTGAGCAATATAAGTGGTTTTCTCTCTCTCACTCTCAGTGGATATGTTTGTTCAGTATAGTGTTTTGATTGGGTGGAGATTAAGGATTTTATAAATGTACATGCTGTGTTTTTTTGTTAGAGAATAAAAGATTGAACAAGTGCTCCATAAAGTACAAGTTGGACCTCCATGGTCTAGCACCCTCAGGGCCTGAGTGGTCCTGAAGGAAGGAGTTTTCCAGACCAGGGGAGGTCAGGCCTCAGGCTCTCCCAAGACTCCCCTCTTGGACCAGGGGAGGGTAGATTACATGTGCTTATGATAGCTCATACTGCTGAAGAGATATGACGAAGCATTCTATACAAATGGGAGTTTCCTAAGGGCTGATGACTTTATGCCCAGGCTTAATGTTAAATGAATGGTAAAAGTAAAGCAAGTTGTTGGGGACAGTTTTCCTTCCATAATTTTTATTAAAAGCAATAAACTAGTTTTCCTTTCCATTGGGCTTACAGTTTTTCACAACCCAGGTATTCTATATGTTTATTTTACAATGGAATTTAAACTAAAACCAGTATTCTTTAATGTCTTTTGTATTTTACGAAGATTTAGAGACACAGACCACTGTTTGGGGCAGATGGTATGCTATTTAGCATATTATAGTTAATTATCACAATTATAATAGTTTTTATTGGTATACTGCAGACATATAAATGTTAGTCTTCCATAGATTGTGATGAACAAAAATTAAAGTTTAACTTTATTACAATTTCATTCCGTACTTTTTACTTCCGTTCATTGTTTTTGTGCTGTTCATTGTTCAAAGCTTGATTTTTAGTTAGAGTATATTTTCTCTACATACTGATCTTTTTTCAGAATACTAAATGAGTAAAACAGAAGTAATTTTATTACTAAAACCATTAATTTCAGTTAAAAATATGTTAATATTCCACTGTAAGATACTCAAATTCAGTAAACGGTGAGTGTTGAAATTGTGTGTGAACAATTCTTAATCTTACAACCTAAATGGACGTGCTCTCCAGGAATTCCCCTGCAGTTTTCCCTTTTTTAGTGCAGAACTCACAACGTATAGATTCTATTGTGTGTCTGTTTAAGGCAATACAGGAAATCCAGTCACGTAATTTCAAGAAAAAACAGATAAGCATCACTTATTGGTAATCTGCAATAATCAGTGAGAAGAAATGTTGCCTCTAATGGTCAGATTTTGAAATCTCTACATGTAGGCTGGAAAAACAAGCATTTTGCATGCCCTTTTGTGCTCTCAGGGTTTCACTGTAAGATTCATTCTTCATAAAGTTTTATTGTTTTGACATTTTAATATTGGTAATAAATATTGATAAGAACTTAGGAATTTGTTACTCGAGAATGTTTTGAACTATTTTTTCCTTCATTTATGTTTAGTAATTCGTATAAATGGTATTGGGAATTTTGTGTATCCCAAAAGAGATAGAAACTGTTCCTGTAAATAAGCAGGTGGGAAAATATTTGTTTTTAAATAATACACTTTATTACTCCAGTTTAAAAAAAGAAAAAAGAAACATTCATGTAAATGACGTGAGCCAGCACTCTCGTTCTATTTCCATGTTCTTATCTGATATTATAGCAAAGCATCAGGTTAAGCGTTGCTTTCTATTTAAAGGTCAACTCAGAAATGCATTTTTCCCTTGGTGCTACTTCTTGCAGGGTTTTGGCTCACTGCCAAAAAATGATTCAACTTTAAAAAACCTACACTTTATATTAGATGGAGGATTATAATAAGAACTTCACTGATTATATATTTTATACAAGACATGAGAAGTCATTCTTCTGCTCTACTCTGCGCTGATTAGGTCTCAATTGGAGTATTGTGTCCAGTTCTGGGCACCACATTTCAAGAAACATGTAGAGGAACTGGAGAAGGTCCAGTGAAGAACAATAAGAATGATTAAAGGTCTAGAGAACATGACCTATGAAGGAAGACTGAAAGAATTGGGCTTGTTTAGTTTGGGAAGGAGAAGACTGAGAGGGGACATGATAGCGATTTTCAAGTATCTAAAAGGGTGTCACAAGGAGGAGGGAGAAAAATTGTTCTCCTTGGCCTCTGAGGATAGGACAAGAAGCAATGGCTTTAAACTGCAGCAAGGGAGGTTGAGGTTGGACATTAGGAAAAATTCCTAAGTGTCAGCGTAGTTAAACACTGGAATAAGTTGCCTAGAGAGGTTGTGGAATCTCCATCTCTGGAGATATTTAAGAGCATATTGGTTAGGCATCTATCAGGCATGGTCTAGATCAGGGTGGGCAATAATTTTTGCCCAGGGGCTACTTCAAAAAATTTTGAAGTAGCCCCAGGTCACCCTGGAAGGGGTGGAGCCTAAATGGGAAGGGGCCGGGCTACTCCACCCCCAGACTATAATTGGTCTGGAGGTGGGGGAACCCCTTGCCCCCCCTTCCCACTAGGCACCCGTGCCCTGGAAGAGGCTTGGCACGCTCCCCCACCCCAGGCCAATCAGTTCCTGGGGGCGGGGGAGTGCGGAAAGCTTCCCCCCTGCCCTGCGAGCAGCACACGGCGCTTTGAAGTGCCGCGGGCTCCTCACAGGGCTGGGGCAGGGCGAAGGAATCTTGATGCAGCTCCCCCACCCCCAGGCCCTGATTGGCCTGAGGGTGGGGGAGCAGCAGGGCCTCTGCAGGCCAGCTCCACCTGGGGGGGGGGCTGGGTCCAGCCCGCGGAGGCCCTTTTGCCCACCCCTGGTCTGTATGGTACTGGGTCCTGCTGTGAGGGCAGAGGACTGGTCTCAACCTCTCGAGGTACCTTCCAGTTCTAGTGTTCTATGATTCTATGTCTGTTTTATTACAGTAGGACAAGGTGGGTGGAATTTATTACTAGAATTAAGCATTTCCAAATGATTGAAACAGTATTCTTGGTAGAGGCAGAAGGAAAGAGTCTGCTGTACTCTGTAATAAAAAAAATACTCTGTCTCCTCCTCAGTGCCTGCTGCCTCCAAAGCCTAACATGTTAGTGATTTGACTTCTTGACTACAGCATGAGTGTCTGAGTTGATTTTTCAAGCATATGCTTCCTTCAAAGTATTAACGGGGCAAAAATGTTCCTTTTTTTTCTAGCTAAAACAAAGAAAAAGAGCACAACTTTCTATATATGTATCAACTAAAGATCCAAGTTTATTTTTTATCCTTTATGACTATTAATACAAAAAGTCATCCCACCATTAGAATTATGCTCACAACTCGATGTTCCGTTCCACCTGAGAAACTCCTAACAACAATAATAATAAAAAGGAAATTCATAATATCTAGGAAAAAGAAAAAACTCACCCAGTTACATCAAGCAGCGGTTTTTGCCTTAAAAAGGGGAGCATGCTAAAGATTACTTTACATTTACTAGTGACTTTGCTTTTGCTATCATCTGGGCTAAGAGTCAGGAGTGGTGAACTATCACATGCAGTTCTAGAGTTGCTTGCTCATTTCAATGTAGTCGTTGCTTACAAGTTTGCCTAGTGACTGATCCATAATTTTAAACTCTATAGTGTATACTGAATGTACCCCAAACTTCAAATGCTCTTTAGTTGTGATATATGATGTGCATTAGTCTCTTGCGAGATCTTGTTCGCTTGTAAAAAGATTTTATTTTGTTTGATTTGTATTTTTAAAAATGAAGGCATATTTGTACTTTTAAATTTTATAAAAATGGACATTTTTAGTGAAGGAAGACAAAATTATTACAAAGTTAACTTGTAAGACTGACTGATAAGTCCCTAAATGAGACTTGAAATGCCATTCTTTTGACACATGGTGTCATTCCCCACTCTGCTAGTCTGCTTTGTTTTGGTAAACTGCCAAAAATACAGTAATTTTCCTGAGTGCTTCAAAAGTAGGATTCTGATCAATTTTAGTACCTTGAAAAAGTGCATAGGAGGTATGACGACATGTATATGCACATTCTGTCACATGCATATGTGTTCCTGCAAAGCAAGATGTGGCTGAGAAGTGTTTTGGGGACTTTCTAAGCCCAGCATTCTTAATGCTTTCTTTCCCTTTGCTTTCCTGTTAGGCCTAAATGTTGCATGGTTTGCAAATCAGTGAATAAGCATTACCCATGTACTTTAATATTTAGAAATATTGATTGAGATTTTCAAAGTCCAGGATACTTAACCACAATCTCCATTCATTTTATATTCCTTGAACCTCTTTGAAAATCAGAACCATTACATAGAATCAGCCATAAAAGTGAAAGGTAGTGCAATTTGTTTCTGTACTGTCAATACTCTGTTCCTTTAATTAAAAAAAAGTTAAAAAAAATAAATGTTAGCAACATAAAAAAGTTTTAGTAAAATTGAAATTAGCACTGTCATTTTTAAAAATGTACCCTTCTGAATCTGAGCTGTAGACTTGGTAGTCTGCCAGAATGATAGACATCAAGCATTTATAAACAAAAGGGAATGCAACTAGAAATTTAGAATAGAAAGTTTCTTTCAAATCTCTTCTTATGATTGTTGTGATCTCATTTTTTGGAAGGAGAAACTAAGAAAGACCAATTCTATAGACATGTATGCACTTGAGTAACTTTGTGTATTGAACTGAGTGAGGATACTTACATATGTAAAGATAGTCACATAATATGTGTTTTCAGGATCAGGGCCTAAATCCATAGTTCATTCCTTTCAGAATTTTAAGCAGGTGTCATTTTTGTGAAAGTTCACTGAGATTTTTTTTTTAACAAGTGTGGTACACCCATCATGTTGGATTTGTTTTTGCTACTTTAATGCTTAATAGAACTTAATATCCTTAATATAACTTAATCACGATTGCTTCGTATTCACAGCAAATTTAAGGAAACTTCCATTTTTGTTGGTCAAGGTTTGAAATACAGATTTTACATGTGAATTATGACTACAGTACAAGTCAGTAACCTTGTCCTTTGGTGAATGATTGCCATATAAAAGTTTTCCACATGGGAAGTTACTGTGTTTCAAGTGAGGATGTGAAGCTACTGTAAGTTTACCATGTGATACAGTCTCATGTGAACAGCCACAGTGCAGTAAAAGTTGTGGAATGTAGCAGCTTTAATGTACTGCTTCATGGCAAGCTGATGCACAATAGATTCACATCCTGGATTGCTGGGCAGCAAATTGCTCTGTAGAGAAGTCATAAGAAGAGCAGACAAAGAATTTTGCTTCCCTTGCTCCCGTGTGTCTCAAGATGAAAATGTTATCATTAAAAAATAAAAGGTGCTTAAGAGTGGCCATAGTTACTTGTTTGTAATGTATTTATTGTATAGCTATTGATCCTACACTCACTACTAGAAATTACTATTTTTAGAGTATTTGAGTACCAACAGTTTGCTTAGAAGACATAGAAGGAAAAGTGGTGCTTGCTCCAAGGAGCTTGCAGTCAGCTGCTATACAGTTTCACCCAAAGCAAATAGACTGGGTCTTTTTCCCCCTTTTTTTTAGAGCAATTATGACATTTCACAGCATGAAAATGGAAGAAATCAATAAAATCATTCGTGATCTTTGGCGAACCACCTACAGAGGGCAAGGTACATACATTATTCTTGTAGTTTCAGAATTTGTATCTGTCCCACTTTAAAATATGAGCAGATTGTAGTAATAATAAAGAATTATGTGATTAACTATGATTTTGTATAATGATTTGGAAGTAATTCATTCCCTTCCTATATTTTCCAAAATTTAGGCATCCTTCGAAAGAAAAAACTTGTGCCATTTAAATACACTTCTTTAGTTTTGAATAAATTAACCTGCCAGTGTCAAAGATTCTTCTGTTGGCACTTCTAAATATGTTTTGTATAATTATATTGCCTATAGTAGGACTCTTCTTTCCCAACTGTGTTTTAACTATTGCGCATGTTATCACCTCATTGTCTCAATCTGTTGTTTTAAAACATGTTTTTATAATGAAATTACATTTTTCTCATATTAGATATTGAATATATAGAAATTCGTTCTGATGCAGATGAAAATGTTTCAGCATCTGATAAAAGGAGGAACTACAATTATAGAGTAGTAATGATAAAAGGAGGTACTGCTCTGGACATGCGAGGAAGATGCAGTGCTGGGCAAAAGGTATGTTATGGAATTTTATTGCACAAAAAAGACAAGAACTCTTTGGGAAGTTTGGATGATTGGGAGAATAGGCATATCCTGAATTTTTAGAAGTAAAGATAAGGAAAGGAAAAAATTGCCCCAAAATTAAAATGAGTGATGCAAAACATTTCTAGCTGTTACATGGCATTGATGCAATGAAAGGATATTCTATTAAATGATGTATAAAACAAATCGCGCTCTCATTTGCATATCTTCCGATTCTTTTTGCAGAAGAGGTTTTGCCAATAAAAAGCCCCATGTAGACAGGGCCATTTGTCAGGAAAAACCCCTTTTTTTGCAAGATCTTGTAAACCTCTATTTTTGAGGAATAAGGGATCTTGCAAAAAAGGAGGTTTTGCTGACAAATGGCCCTGTCTATACAGGGCTTTTTATCGGCAAAACCTCTTCTGCAAAAAGAATAGGAAGAAGATATGCAAATGAGAGCATGATTTGCATATCCTCTTCCGCAAAAAAACAGCAGTGTAGCTGTAGCCTGAGAGTGGAACATCTTCATCTCTTCTTCTTAGTCATTTTCTTAGAACTAGTTCATCGGGGAATATGATGTCTGCATCTGTGATTACTGGAAAGTATCCTTTAGTAGAGTATATTCCTGCTACCGTTCCCATGGTGTGTTTATAATTTTCACTTGGTCAGACAGTTTCTTGAAAACCTAATCAGCCAGACTTAATAACACAGTATCAGCCTATGGAGTGATAATTCAAGTGTTTCAACTTTAGAAAAATAATCAGTGATTTGTTAGCACACAGAGGGGCCAGGTTTATTGAGATATGCACACACACCCAGATCTCAACCACCCATTGTCAAAAGATGTGATTGTCTAATTTGACTATTTTATAAAGCATTCTTAGCTGCAGAATTAAGGTTCCTGGGATATACTTAATGCTGTTATAGCCTAAATGTTTAAGTGCTCAACTTTCCAACCTTAACATTTTTAGCATAGCTTTTTTTTAATTGTTTAATTTAAATTGGAATTGTTTTCATTTAGTTCTGTTTAATAGTGAATGAATTTGTTAATAGGCATTTTCAGACATCTGATATGTTGTGTTTTAACTCTAACACCTGTATCTGCTATTCTTGGAATTATAAATTGAACAGTTATGTAGTTCAGTGCTTTCTAATTACATACTGAAGAGTGGATTTGTATTTTCTTCTAGGTGCTTGCTTCCCTCATTATTCGTCTTGCTCTGGCAGAAACATTCTGTCTCAACTGTGGCATTCTTGCATTAGATGAGCCTACTACCAATCTTGATCGAGAAAACATCGAGTCTCTTGCACATGCTCTGGTGGAGTAAGTTTGGGATGGATATCCTCTGAGTTTTAATAGACTTGGGGAAGACTTGGATTCTTTGTTATAAATAGATTTGGTTTTACTGTGTGTTCAATGACATACATAGTTTTAATTGAGAATGGAATCAGGTCCAGCATTTGCAGTAGTTTTGCTACTTGCTAGAAATTATTTGTTTTTTAAATCCTGCCCAATGGCTTGCTAATTCTGTCATCTCTTACCATATTTTGGACAAGAAAATCTTTAAGTTCTTGCTTCTTTGTGGAAGAGAAGAGAAGCATTGTATCAGTTTTCTTTCATTTTGCACATAGCCAGGAATAGTTGTGTGAGAACATTTTTAAGGCAGGAGGTGCTGACATCCCTCCCCTTATCCCTATTCTACACCCCCTTCCTAACTGAGGACAGGAGCAAAGCCCTGGCGTGCACGGCCCACAGCCGCTGAGCCTCCTGCACACAGGGCTGAAGAAGAGCTCTTTCCCCTCCACTCTGCGTGCAGGACCAGCAGGCAGGACTCCAAACCAGGAGCCAGCAGTAGAGCCCCCAACATGCAGGGCTGGCAACAGAGCCAGGTGTGTGGGGCAGCAGCTAGGACCCTGGATGCAGAGCCCCCAGAATGCAGGGAAACAGCGCCAGGACCTTGGGTTTTCAGCCGGGAGCCTGGAGGTGTCATAACACCCCTGCATTCCTAGTTCCCATGCTGTGGCCAAAAAGTAACATGAATGTTAGCTGTTAGATTGACAGTTCATTCTTCTTGTCTTGGTGCATCCACATTAGGGCTACCATAGGACCAGGGAAGAGCTTTTTAGTCATGCGGTTAATATGGGGTCACAGTTCTTTATTATATTTATCTTTTCTAAGCATTCACTAAATCCATGATACTCAGAGCCAAAGAGTATAAACTATGAAGCGTATTACTAATCGACAGATTCATTAGATATCTGACAGATCCTGCCTTTCTTTCCAATATATTCCTGTTTTGCCCAAGTAGTTAATCACATTTTCTTATATAAGAAAAATTATATTAAAAATCAAGATATAATAATAAGGATGATACCTTTTATTGAATATGGTATTAATAAGAATAGTGCACTAATTATAGAATACTAGAACTGGAAGCGACCTTGAGAGATCAAGTCCAGTCCCCTGCCCTCATGGCAAGACCAAGCACCATTCTAGATCATCCCTGACAGATGTCAATCCAAACTGTTCTTAAATATCTCCAGTGATGGAGGAGATTCCACACCTCCCTAGGCAATTTATTCCAATGTTTAATTGCCCTGACAGAGAGATCCCAGAAAAACTCCATAGTCTAGACATAGCCCTAATGTCCAACCTAAAACCTCCCTTGCTGCAATTTAAGCCCATTGCTTCTTGTCCCATTTTCAGAGTCCAAGGAGAACAATTTTTCTCCCTCCACCTTGTAACAACCTTTTAGATACTTGAAAACTGCTATTACATCCCCTCTGTCTTCTCTTTTCTAAACGAAACAAGCCCAATTCTTTCAGTCTTCCCTCATAGCTCATGTTTTCTAGCCCTTACATCATTTTTGTTGTTCTTCTCTGGGCTTTCTCCAATTTTTCCACATCTTTCTAGAAATGTGGTGCCCAGAACTGAACACAATACTCCAACTGAGGCCTAATCAGTGCAGAGTAGAGCAGAAGAATGACTTTTCCTGTCTTGCTCATAACACTCCTGGTAATGAATCCCAGAATCATGTTTGGTTTTTTTGCAACAGTGTGACACTGTTGACACACATTTAGCTTGTGGTCCACTAATGATTCCTACATCCCTTTCTGCAGTACTCCTTCCTAGACTGTCTCTTCCCTTTTTGTATGTGTGAAACTGATTAAAACTCCACTTAGGAAGGAACAATGTTTTAGAGTTTTTTATTTTGTGTATTTGCAAATTATGTAAAATTAGTATGCCACTTCTATAAGTGTCCTAACCTTCAACTCCTTTATAGGTTAATAAAAAGTCGCTCACAACAACGCAACTTTCAGCTTCTTGTCATAACACATGACGAAGATTTTGTGGAGCTTTTGGGCCGTTCTGAATACGTGGAGAAATTCTACAGGATAAAGAAGAATATTGACCAGTGTTCTGAGATAGTGAAGTGCAGCGTCAGTTCCTTAGGTTCCTAGCACTATCGAATAATTTTGTATTATAGGATGACTAGGTAACAATGCAAAATTAAGATACTGAATATGAAGAAATGAACTATATTTTCTGACACTGAAAAAGTTATAGCTTACTACTTAACTAGAATTTTAACATTATCAAACGATTGTACTGTTTAACTCTGCATCTTTAAAAATGTAAAAGATACATATTTCTGTGCTTGTTTTAAATATAAAATAAAAACTTCAGAGGATTTTGAATTATTACAAAATGCTTAGATAGCACTAAAAATGTACTTGGTGTTCTGAAATATAAATAAAGGCATGTTCTTTGAGTATGTGTGAGCATGGATTCCAGTGTAAGTGCATGTGTGTCTTAGGGTCAGATCTTTTGAATAGCAGTGTTTGTTAGGGCTGTGTACATGTCCTGTGCCACATAAAGAGAAGAGTGTTCCACCATCCCTCAGTTCCTCCTATGATAGCAAGATTGAACCCAGCAGGTCTTCAACCTTCTCCTTTTCAGAGCTTCAGACTTGTCTTTTTTCACTTAAATTGCTGAAGAACATTTATCTTCGTCCATATTCCATGTTTTCTTTGATTGGATGTCACACACACACAAACACATAGCCTTGAATAGCGCGCACGCACAGACACAGAGCCTTGAATATCAGGGCATGATTCTGTATGCCAATAGGTTGACTCTAAATTGAGTTCAAATCTTGCTCTCTCTGGAGATAGGAGTTTGGAATTCAGGTAATTTTTCTTCAGAATCTGCATGTCAAGGACATTCAACTCAAGTTCCACGTGCTCAAGGAACTGATATGGGCTTACTTGAGCAGATGTCCACTTCAGACTCAAAGGAAATGTCAACTAAGGTAGAGCCAAAAGAACAAGCATCAGTCAGTGCTCCTCCAAGCAAACACCACATCCTAGGATCAGGCAGGGAAAGCAGGGAAACAAAGAGGACATAGCCAAAACCAGAGTCAACCCTCACAACTTTGGCACCAGTGTCCTCAGAGGCAACTAGCTCCAGAACTGATGTTGAGGCCACATTACTTTGTGGCACTGCCATTTCAAGAGATTTACTGGTACTCACTCTCACTAGCTTACTCTTTTCAAGCATTGAGTGGGGATGTCTTTCCTCTGCCTTCAGAGAGCAACCCCAAGGACAGCACCACAAGTCCCTTGCTAACAACTCCATCCCAGGTGAGACAGATGGCAACTAGCAATAAGCCAATAAGTATTCTATGCTATAACTTGCCTAACTGGGGATCATCATTGCATGTGCTCTGGAGCAGATTCCCCTTTCCCACATCCAGGAAGAGGCATTACTGTCCAGACATCATCACTTAAGTCAGTGATGATAGCTCCTCCCCTGAGAACTGCTGACTTCAAAGCATTTTCCAGTTTGACATTGCAGAGACTCTACACATTGAAATAGTAACGTGAGAGAAGTTTTTAAGTTTTTGACAGTTCCCATCAGGATTTCCCTCCCTATGATGTATACTGCAGCCAACTAAGGTGTTCTGTCAGAATACATCCACTGTCCTCCAATATCTCAACAGGTGGGAAAAGTTACCAGGTGTTTCATAACTTTTGAACACTTTTCCATCCACTAACTTCAGGATTTTCTGGTGTTCACAACCCACGAGAAAAATGCATGTCATAACAGGTTACACCTAATGATGACAACACAAAAAATTAGATCTGCATGGGTACAAACCATACACTTCTGCCTAACTCCTGTTCTATTTCTCACCTCTGAGAGGGTCACTCCCTTCCTGTTACTAATCTGACAGTTGAAGAGATAGGAGTTGCAAGAAATCACAAGAGTCTCAAATGGTTGCTAGAATGTCACTGCAAGTGGCTGTGGCCATCAAGATGATATGAACCTCTTGGTTGTTAGCAGCTGGGTTCCCCAAAGAGGTACAAATTACTTTGAAGACCTGCCCTTTAAGAGGTTGTAACTGTTTAGCCAAAGAATTGATGATGCTTTCCATTCTTTGAAGGTCTCAAGGAGTATGTTACTGCTGTTCAGCATTTGTATACCATCTCTGTCAGAAACCATAATAAGGTTATCCACCATGGCAAAGGATGCTATTTTACTTGCAAGGCTGACCACCTGCTATTGCAAGGTTGGCAACTTTCTGCCACAGAAAAATCTGTTTTCTGGGAGACAGCTGTCCTTTCGCATTGTTCACCTGATGCCCCTGACTGGGTCCTATGACATTGTTTAGTTTTTAAGAATTAGCATACAATTTATAACTTTTTTCCTTCCTTTCCCCTGGATTGGGCAGTTGGCAGCCTAGCAATCCCATCCACCTGCATCTGACACACTTCTGCCTGCCATGCCCCTGAGGCAGGGCAATCAATTCACTAAGCAGTTGCCATAGTTGGTTCTGACCTTGGACTGCCGAAGCCCACTCCAAACAGTTCTTTTATATAGCTTCTCTCATCACTAATGCCCTCCACCTGTGAAATTTGGAGTCTGTCCAGTGTTGTTGCTTGAGACTGTAGATACTAAAGCCTCACTGTTGAGCCCAGGTCAACAGAAGAGTGCTTTCAAAATGGTCAAGAAATCCAGCATCTAATTATATAATATCAACTATCTTAATGATACTAGATGATTTACTCAGCATTTCTCGGGTCCTTAATTAATTTTTGTTTTTCTTCATTTAAAACATTGCTCTGGGGTGAGGCTGGCGATGAGGGGCTCAGTATGCAGGCTGCCCCAGGGAGAGAAGATTATCCCAGCCCCTTTCACTGCAGCAGCCTGGAGCCAGGTGAGAATCATCTCTCCGTGGCTGCTGCAGCTCCACCTGTTAGGGGAGGGGTGCATGTCCCCCAGCTAGGGCTGGTACAGGCTCGTTTGCTCCCTACGCTCCCCAGCCACAATGCGGAAATGCAGCAAACTGCATTTTCTTCTTGCTCCCTGATGAAGGGGAACCGCCAGCAATTTTGCACATGAATCCCAGCCCACCATCCCAAAAGGGTGCCTGCAAGGTGGGAGGCTAGGAGGTGGGGCAGTCCCAGATTGGGAGGGCACACCTCCTCCAGTCCCTTTCACCTGCCTGTTGATTTTACCAAACCCTTACCTTGGTTTAAGTTATGACTCTTAAAAAGTCACAGCTTCCCAGGATAAAGTCCCCCATCCTAGCCTGTGTTCCTTGTTCCTACATGCATAACTTACATTTGACCTTATTGAAATGCATGTTGTTAGCTTGTACTTGTTTTACCAAGTGATCCAGACCATTCTGTATCCATGACTTCTCCTCTTCCTTATTTACCACTGTCTCAATCTTTGTATCAAACACAGACTTTATCAATAATGATTTTTTTCTTCCAGGTTATTGATATATTTTAAATAGTGTAGGGCCAAGAACGGAATCCCCTTAAACTCCACAAGGTTTATGATATTTCCCCATTTATGATTACATTTTGAGGCCTCTCCATTTGGCTCATTTGTACAACATTAGTTTAATACTGATATTGAATTGTTCTAATTTCTTAAAATATCATGTCATATCAAGTCAAAGATTTTGCAGAAATCTAAGTATATTACATCAGCACTCTACTGTTATAACCCAAACTTGTTATCTCATCAAAAAAGATGTCCAGAGTTAGCATGACAAGACCTGTTTCTATAAACCTGTGTTGATTGACATCAATTGTTTTACCTTCCTTAAATTCTTTATTAATTGAATCGTATATTTGTCATTCATTGCTTTGCCCAGGATCATTGTCAGGCTGACAGACCTATAATTACTTAAGTCCATTTACCTTTTAAAACTATTGGCCCATTAGCTTTGTTCCAATTTTCTGGAATTTTTCTGGTGTTCCAGACATACTAAAACTCATTCATGGCCTAGAGACCTCCTCTGCCATATCTTTTAAAACTCTAGAATTGAAGTTATCCAAACCTACCTATTTTAAAGTGTGTAACAGTTTTAACTTGTGGTCCACCATCCTCTTGTCTAACTCTAATAGCTTCTGTTTAGTAGCCTCCTGAGTTACTGTGGGAATGGAAAGTTTTTCTTCATCAGTATCATGATATGAATGTCATCTGCTTCCCCCTCCCCCCCCATTACAGAACAGAAATATTTAACTCTTCTTCCTTTTCTGCATTCTTTTTGACAATTCTGTCATTTTCAAATTGTAATGAACCAATTCCATTTCTAAGATTCCTTTCGTTCTTTATCTACATTAAAAACTTCCTCGTTATCCTTCACTTCTGCTGGCCACAGATTTCTCCTTGTGCCTTTTTGGTTTTTTTACTAATTTCTACAGTTCCTAGCTTCTAATTTATATCCATTATCATCAACTTTCTGCTTTTTCCATTTGTTTCATATTGTTTGATTTTGGGGGGTGGGCAGGAGCTAGCTGCTTTCATTTCCCTCTAAACCAGGTTGGCTTTATAAACGGTAAAGTCATCTTTATCAGTTGTGGTAGTGTGATATTTTTGGGGGGGCATCTAGCTAAATGTTCTTAAACATTTCCCAATTATCATTCACATTACTCTATTTAAATGCTTTCTCCTAGGTGCCTTGTTCCTAATTGTTTTCAGGTTTTGGGAAATTGGCTCTTTTAAAGCACCAAGTATATGTATTACTGGTTTAGGCTTTGTCTGGTTTGCACATTACATATGTCATTAAGTTACGATCACTTATATAGGGGTGGGGAACATAAGGCCCAGGAGCTGGATGCATCTCCCAGCACTGGAGTCTGCACTGGCACTCCAGCCCCCCTCTGGCCCCACTGTGGGGCTGGAGCACACAAAATCTGCTAGTCTGGGACCCTTAAGCTCTGGTGTGCTAGGGCAGGGGTGGCCAACCTGCTCTTCAGAAGTTAATATGTGGCTCCTTGCAAAGTTACCAAATCCGGGGCTGGAATTACAGGTGCCAACTTTCCACTGGGCCAGAGGGTGCTCTGCTCTAGGTGCTGTCTCCCACCACCCTTTCCCCCTAGGATCCTGCCACTTCCCACCCTCTCCACTGAGCCTGTCGCACCCATGCTTCCCCCTCTAGTGTCTCCCACTGAGAGGTGATCCCAATGGGCTGGAGGAAAAGGAGAAGATGACACTGACCGGTGGGGCTGCCAGTGGGCGGGATGTGCTGAGAGTGGTGGTTAGGAAATGATCATGGCTGGTGACATAGAACTATTGCTCTTTGGCCATGTGCATTGGAAAATTTTGCTTCTTCTGAGCTTTAGGTTGGCCACCCCTGTGCTAGGGGAATGTGGGGAGTGTCTGATTGTCTTTGTCTGTCGGGGCCACGTCTTTGAGGGTTCTCACTTATGTGCGGCCCCCGACTGATTTTTCTGTGGATCAGCAGCCCCCGACTCTA